CTTGGCAGCACTTAACAATAACAACAATGTTTCCCAAAAGAATTCTGTGCTCTTCTGTCTACACCATTCAATTTACTGCCGTTGTGACATCCTTGAGGGACTTCAATTGGGTATCTTTTCAATGTTCACATGGGGAGGGCTGGGAGCAGCAGAGGGATGGGGTCAGCTCTAGTTCTCAGAAAGACCTCTCTGGGCCCAAGTGGGAGAAACTGGCAGCCAGGAAGCCAAGGAGGAGGTTGGGAAGAGAGTCCAAGTGTGGACTCTACAGGAGCTGGAGATTTGGGGGATGGAAAAGAGGTGAAGTAGAAAAGGACATGAAGGGGAAGGATGGGGAGGTGGCAGGTAGTGGTCCCACTCTCTGCAGAAAGGAACCCTAGAGGAGCATAGGTCAGGGTAAGTGGGAGACATCTTCAGTCGGGTGTTAGACACAATCTCAGACAGGACCCTGAGAGGCAAAGGGGGTCAAGGATCTGCAGATGGACTTGGGGGTCATTGATGAAGAGGGCTTGTCTTGACCCTCTAGCACAGTCAGGTAGAGGCTGGAAGGCACAGCTTGTGACCCATGACCTCACCTGGTGAGGTATCCTGCCAGGCATATTTGTGTGTCTGTGAGGTGCAACAGGTCCTCATGCTCTCCTGCAGCACGGCTTGAGCCAACCATCTGAGTATAAAACACCATCATCCCCTGATGAGTGGATTCTGGTGGTTCCTGTCCATGTGGACCACTCAGAGCTGGCAGCCGACACAGTCATTGTGGTATGACTGATGGCTGACAGCGGTCTTTGAGTGAAGCACCTGTGTTCTATGCTAAGCAACGCTTACACTGTTTGAGGGTAGCGCTCAACCTTTTGGTCTCAATATTTTTGTTGTTTTTAATGGCTAATCTGCCATTTCACTTACAGTGACCTCAGGAGATTGTTTCAGTTCAAGGTTTAGAGTATTTCAGAGCAATAGACCCAGGGAATCCTCTAGTCTCAGCTGATCCAGTAAGTCTGGACTTTTTTAAAGAATTCGAGTTCTGTTCCGCATGTTTCTCCTGTTCTATCAGAGTCCTGTCTATTTATTATGGTTATGGTAGCCGGGCACCATCTAGTTCTTCTGGATCTCAGGGTAAACGAGGCTATCGCTGGTGTAGACGACTAGCTCTGTAGTACAACCCTCTTGCACTAGTTTCCTATGTGCTCTGTGCACTTTACAGGTGTTTGTGTGTGCTGTGTGGACCCACACAGCAGTTTCTTCTCTGAGACTTTGTTTCAAAGAATTATCTCTAGAAGCTTCCCAGTGAGCTGGATTGGCACAGTGGTAGCAGCAATGGACTTAAGCATAGAAACAATTGTGAGGATGGCGCAGTGTTTTGTTCTGTTGTGCACAGTGTTGTTATGATGTGGAACCAACTGGACAGCACCTCACAACAACCATATAGGATCCCTTGGCAAATGTAGAGGCAATGAGTCCCTGTGAACAAGGGAGACACAACTTGGAAAAGGAGGCTGTGAATGAGTCTCTGTGAACGAGGGAGAGACAAGTTGGAAAAGCAGGGTGTGAATGGCTGCGCGACTCAATGGATGCAGCTAACGTCACTGAGCTGCCCGTGGGGAAGCCCTGGCATCGGTATCTTCTCAAGAATAAAAATAAACTATAAAAAGAATAAATAAAGACAGAAACCTGGGGAATCTGAATGTGGTGCAATGAATGAATGAATATGGCCCTTCTAGGCAGTTCAGAGAGCCCTGGTAATGCAGTGGGTTCCAGCTGGACCCGCAAAGTCAGCAGTTTGAATCTACCTCCAGGTGATAAAAATGAGGTTTTTCTTCCCCCATAAAGATTTGCAGTCTCAGAAACCCTGTAACAGGGTCGCTGAGTCTGAACAGACTCCACAGCACACAACCACCACCAAGCAGTGTATGCAGTCCTGGTGTGGTGCCATAGGGTCAACACTGGAAGGTCAACAGTTCAAACCCACTCAGGGTTGCCGAGTCGGCACTTAACAACAAGGCAATGTATGGCTTCATGTTCCTTTTCCCTAGCTACTACGTTAGTGGGGCTTTATCCTGGTATCACCGTGTCGCACTGTGCTGGCTTGTGTATTGCTATCATGCTGGAAGCTCTGCCACTGGTAGTTCAAATTCCAGCTGGGTCACACCCACGGGTTACAGGTTTCAGTGGAGTCTCCAGACTTCCGGCTCACACAACAACACTGTCAGACTGACTTACTTTAGGAACTGCATCAGAAGGGATCAGAGGAAGAGAGCTTGGTGGATGGGAGCCAATGGGACACCAGGGGGAGGGAGACCCTCGCTGAGATGGCCCCGTACAACGTCAGCCAAGACCACGCACTCAACTATGAATGTGCGGAAGACGAAGCACCGGGCAATGTTGTGTTCTGTCTGGTACGAGGGTTGCCGTGAGTCAGAGCTGACTCGATGGCAGCTGATGACACTCTCGTGATCCGGCTCCTGGGTAGAGCAGATGGTGAACTAACTCGGCCGCAGCCCAAAGGTGCAAGTTCAGTCTGCCTAGTGACACCTCAGGGTTCCTTCTGAAAAGCCCACCACCGAAAGCCCTCCGGAGCAGTTCTACTCTGACACCTCTGGGGACAAGCATGAGTTAGAGCTGGCTGGATGGCAGCTAGCTGGGTTACCCTAGATACGCTTCCTGCGTTCACACACAAGGGAGATGATGTACCCCCGCCCCCCCCGCCCAGTGAGGGCGCGCAGACCTGGTGCCAGGACAGCTTCGCGGTGGAACACTATGCGGCTGTTACAAAGAGCTGCGCCACTCCCTCCAGAATCCACCACAAAAGAGAAAACACAAAAAAACACCACCAATAGCGGGACACTGTACACAAGACACATGACCTGTCACACAGGGAAAAGTAACACAGACACAACTCACTGTATTTGCACTTTGCTTTACTGTGCTGCTCAAGCGGCTGTTTAACAAATGGTTACCAGGCAACCCAGCGAGGAGCAAGTCCATCGGCCGCGCCGAGGGACCAACAACACAGGCTCTTAACATTTTGCTCGTTATCACAGGATTCCAGATCTTTCCACAATTCTACTATTGCACACTTCAGAGACAACAGTCTAGTGTCAACATATCACTGGGAAATCCAAAATAGTGTGAAAGATTGTAATAGTCCTTTTGTTGCCAGACCTACAACCAAACCTGCAATATCTCCAAGGTATATCTGTATACATTGGGTTCGTAATCGCTTACACTGGCATAAAGATCGGCTAAACCCACACCAAACCCATTGCAGAGAGTCCATTCTGATTCACGGTGACTCTAGAGAGGGTTCCTCAAGCTGAAATAGGAGCAGAAAGTTTCATCTTTTTCTCTTGGAGCGGCTTGTGGATTTGAACTGCTAACCCCCTGGTTGGTTAGCAAGCAACCAGTGCTTATTCTATAGTGCCACTCTAGGAGTAAATTTCTTAAACAAATCAAAGTGATGCGGGCAAACACCACTTAGCACTGTGTGCCTCTTTATACTGCTTTGATAGCAGAGTCACATGCATTATTAAATCATAAAGCATTTTCTAATTTGCCACAATAACCCCCTTTCAGTCATAAGTCCCAAGGAAATCATTCAAACTCACACCAAAGAGAGGCTATCCGACACCATTTACCGTAGCGCTATTTATAAGCACATGAAACAGATAGCAGGCTCAACACTGAACATTTGGGAACCAATTTAATAAGCTGCCGCACAACACAGCAGAGCAGTTTACGGCCGTTATGAGGCACGACACAGAGGAGCGTTTTACGGACGATGCGGGCCACGTTTGACTGGGGCTTTCTGACTCGTTTACTAAGCAGAAATCAGTAAACCTACTCGTTTCTGCTTTTACCTTGCAGCCAAAACATGAAACAGCTGCAATTAACTACTACTGGAAGCTGTAACTTTTCACGCCATTCATTTGTTTCAATATATTATCTTATATATTTCAATATAGTCTTGTCTGCGGTTCAAACAGGTCAAAAGGCGCACGAGGATCAGTAACAGACCTCTAGCGTCCAGTACCTGGTCCGATCTTCCAGAGCCTCAAGGTTACGACCAAAGCCAAAGGGATCCTATGTACACCATCTGGCCTTGGACTCCACTAGGTTTCTTCTTCTCTAAGTGCAGCTGAAGCTCCTGCTGGCCATGCACACTGGGCAGATCCAGGGCACACCATGACCATGTTGAAAGGCAGAGCACACCTCGCCACTCAGCCAGGCCCAGCTATGCTCAGGGGAAGCTGGACAGGGGCCGCAGACCCACCCAGTGTCAGCGAGAGTCTGGGGTTGTCCTATCCCAGTGGGGCCAGCAGCCCCCAGAGAAGCCCACCACACCAAAGGCACACGGAGGCTGGAGAGAAGGCGGCGTGTTCCCAAAACTGCAGGCTCAGGTGTTGGGGGTGGGGGGTGGGGCCTGAGAGAGGAGCCTCTACTCTGTGTGCCCAGGAAACCTGGGGTACCATGGGGCTACAGGGGATGGCAGGGACAGCAGATGGACACATGCCCAAACTGAAGGGCCCCAAAGGCCCAAAAAGGACAGAGTCCAGAGACAGGGCTCACCAAGGTAGCCTGGATGAAGGTTCCTGTGGATGTGTGGGGGGACTGAGGGATTAGAATCCTTGGGGTGACCTTTGGGCTGGAGAGGCATCCTAGGGCGGGGGACATGGGCACAGATGCAGGGCGGCCCAGCCTCTCACCGCCCGCTGCCCCCACCCCCACCCCCACCCCCACCCTGGCCCCCAGCATCCGGTGCTCCTGACATCATGAGGAACAGCACAACCGGGATAATGTACATCCACTGTGGGAGAGAACAGACAAACGGACAGACAGACAGACACAGGGAGAAAGAGAGGGGATGAGTAGGAGCACTGCTCCAAGTACTCCCTGGGCCCCAGGATGGGGGTGTGGGGCTGGTGTGAGGAAGGCCGTGTGAGGAGGGCCCAGGTCCCCTACATCACTACAGGCAGGAGGGGGCACGGAAGGGTGGAGGGGGTCCTCACTCAGGCCTCCTGCGGTGGCGGCGCGGGCCCTGGGGCAGCAGGACGCAGGGCTGTGAGCAACACGGCCCCCCCTAGGATGAGGTGCCACTGAAGAGGGAGGGGGGACAGGTCAGGGTGGCCTCAGGGCCTACAACCATTGAGGAGGAAGAGGGCCCTTGGACAAGGCCGTGGCCTCCCTGGGCCTCAGTTTCCCTGCATGGCTATTCCTGCCGTCCGGAGCTCAGCCTCAGTACACACAGGGCATGGGGCTCACATCCTGACCTTCCCACCCTTGGCCCCCCGCCTCCACCTCCCATAGACCCTCTCTGCTCCCCAGCTGGCCAAGTTCCTGCCCCTCCCGTCTTATCAACTCCCCCCACCACATGCCTTTCAAATCTCAGCCCCTCCCCTCCTTAAAGCCTCACACCCTCCTGGCACCCACCCTCTCTGCTCACAGCCTGCACACAACCCTCCCCCACACCAGACCCCACTAGAGGGACTGCTAGGTGGGATGCCTGTGCTCCCCTCAACCTCAGCCTGGATCAGGGCGAAAAGGTCGGGAAGAGCCCCACCCTCAGGAGGCCTGGAAGCTGCCAGACAGGGGCCACAGGGAGGGCCTCAGCCCCACTCACATATTTAACGAAAAAGGACTTCTGCTCTTGGGGGTTCTTGGCCTTCTGGGCCTGCTCCATCTCCAGGCGCTCGATGAAGGCCGCTGTCTCAGGGCTGGGTGACCCAAGAGAAGGGGTGTGAGGGGCAGGCTGGGAGGAGGTGTGTGTGAGGGATGGGTTGAGGGGGGCGGTGAGGAGCCGGCTGGGAGGGGAGATGAGAGATGAGGGCAGATGGTGGAGGTGCAGCAGTATCAGGAGGGGGAGCCCCTCACCCTGGTGCGGCGCTGGGGGGCTGCAACTGCACGGTAGTGTTGAAGAGCTCCAGGTCCACATCTTCCACCTCATGGCCACGGCAGCCCCCGGGCAGCGTCACCACTGACACGCCCACCACATTGCCGGCCACGTCCACGTGCAGAGTCAGCTGGTCCGAGAGGTGCGACTCTACCAGGGAGCACTTCAGGGGAAGGGGGGATAGGAAGGACCAAGCATTAGAGGAGTCAGGCCCTGTTCCCTCGCTTTTCAAACCCTCCCATGGCTCCTGCCCCCTTGTGTACAAGCCTGTGCCCGCTGTCTTCCAGGGGAGGGGTTGGGAGCCACAATGCCCTGTTCAGCCTCCACTGAAGTGCCCCCATGCGGCCCCAGGCCCTCCAGGATGGGGCTGAATCCCTGTGCTTAGCCTTTGCAAGGATGGCAGGACTGATGGGAGGCAAGCAACAGGATCAAGGAGGGAGCTTGGTCCTTGTCACCAACTCACCGCTGGGACAAAGGAGGAGACATGGCCACCAGCTTCCACACCCTCAGTGGCCCCTGGCCGCCTCGGGAGCCGGACACGGTAGAGGCCATTCAGAGCAGCCACATCCTACAGGGGGGGCAGAAGGGATGGCAATAAGGGGGCCGTGCCTGGTCCCCACAGGCCTTTGTGTCCACTGCCGCCCACCCCCACAGGTAACCCAGTCTTGCCCAACCAGCATCCCCAACTTCTGGGCCCAGCAACCCTGGCCTTGGAGTTGGCCCAGCCCATGGGTGAGATCAGAGCAGCAGGGGCCACATTACTGGGGACAAGCCATCAAGAGGAGAAAGGGACTCCTAAAGGAGGTAGGCAGAGTCTGAGGACATCATTCATGTGACTAAATCCAACCAAACCAGTGCCTGAACTCCTCAATTACATGGGTCAGGAAATTCTTCCGGGAGTCTTGGCCTCTTCCTTACATGACCCGAACAGGGGCCAGGGAGAGCCAGGGAGGGAGAGATGAAGTCTGGCTGTGTGGGGAACTTCTCCTAATCCCCAGGGACACACAGACTAGGGGCAGGAGGGAGCTGGGCACCAAGGCCCCAGAGCAAGTCCCACCTGAAGAGTGTGGCTGGTCCAGTATCATAGGGGCCTGGGTCAACAGCTGGGACAGAGGGCACAGGTGGTACAGGGAAGGGAGGCATGGACAAGGAGGGAGACAGGGGGCTGCTGGGAAGCTCCCTGCCTCTGGCCGCTGAGCCCTCACCCTGAGCCGGCCTCGTTCCTCCTCACTGAGCTGTCGCTGTGACAGGGACAGGGAGCCATCCTGCTGGTTCCAGAGCAGTGAGCCCCGCTTCCGGAAGTGCATGCTGTCATCTGTAAGGAGGTCCGGCTTCAGCAGCCACCCTCCCTCAGCACCCAACGCCCACCCCACCCTCGCAGGGGTAGGAAACCCGAATCCCAACTGTGGCCTCGCCTCTGCTGGATGAACTGAGTCTCTTTCTAATCGGAAGCCTCCATCTCCCACGTGCAATTTGGGGCCATCCCTCCAGCAGGGGCGGGGCCATCCTTCCAGCAGGGGCGGGGCCATCCTTCCAGCAGGGGCGGGGCCTTCCCTCCAGCAGGGGCGGGGCCTTCCATCCAGCAGGGCGTGGCCATCCCTCCTGCCCTTGCAGGAAGCCTACAGCCGCTCCTCAGCCCTGCATCTGCCATCCAACCTCTGAGCCCGTTTCCCCAGGTGCAAAATATCAGCGTGTGGCGCTCAGAAACCTCAACTGTTGGCAATTCCCAGCAGATTCCAGGGTCTAACTCAGTGGGTCTGCAGAGTCTGTAATCAGTGCCCCAGGGTCTGCGGCCTCAGACTCTTCCAGACCACCCGCCAAGAGTGAAGACTGCAGCAGCATAGAAAAGTTATGCTGATATTACACTGTACTCTAGGAAAGGAGTCCTGGTGGCGCCGTGGATTCAACAACATTGAACTGCTAACGGTAAGTTCGGCAGTTCAAACCCACCAGTCACTCCAGGGGAGAACAGTGAGGCGATCTGCTTCTATAATGATTCAGCCTCGGAGATCCTAAGGAGCAGTTAGTTCTCTGCTGTCTTGTAGGGTCGCTATGAGTTGGAATCAACCCAATGCAGAGGGTTTGGTTTGATTTTGGGGTAATTTATGACGTGTTGATGCAACAGCATTGTGAAAAAGTTAGAAATCTGTTGAACAGATGGTGCCGATAGACTTGCTCCAGGCAGGCTAGATGCACACCCTCAATTATTAAAAACCATAGTGAATAAAGAAGACCGTAGAAGAATTGATGCTTTTGAGTTATGGTGTTGGAGAAGAATATTGAAAGTACCATGGGCTGCCAAGAGAGCCAATAGATCCGTTTTGGAAGAAGTGCAGCCAGAGTGCTCCTTGGAGGCCAAGATGGCCAAACTTCGTCTCTCATACTTCAGACATATTGTCAGGAGGGACCAATCACTGGAGAAGGATATCATGTTTAGTAAGGTGGAGGGTCAGAGAAAAAGAGGAAGACCCCCAGCGAGATGGACTGGCCAAGTGGAATCATCAATGGACTCAAGCATGGCAACAGTAGTGAGGTTGGCCCAGGATTGGGCAGTGTTTCATTCTGCTGTGCATAAGGTCAGTATGGGTCAGTACCGACTCGATGGCTCCTAACAACAACAACAGTCAACCACAGTGCTATATGACGAGGCGGCTACATTCACTCAGTCAACACTGCCATCTGAGCTCTGGGTACCTGGCCCATTTAAATTGGGCTTTGGGGCTGTTCCCACTTCCTCTTGGCTTGTGAAGGGACCTTATGTGGCATTCCCCCCCACCCCCCACCGTCCCCAGCTTCGGTTTCCTCTTCTGGGAGACAGGGACAACACTAGCACCTTCTTTGTCTTCTAGCTGCTGCAGGGACACTGGGCTGATCCAGGCCAGCAGCTCAGCATTGAAGGGCCACGGGAATCACGCGATGATTCCCTCTAGATGATGCTGCCGTACTGAGGAAACCTCTGTGTACTCTCCACCTCTCAGCGACCCTATGGGACCTCCTGGCTAGGATTTCCAGCCGGATAGCTCCTTGGAAGTACGGATGACGAGCCGTCATCTCGTGGGCTTTGGACATGTTATCGGGAAGGACCAGTGAGTGCATCCTGGGAGGGCCAATAGAGGGCCAGTGAAAATGAGGCAAACCTCAGAGACAGACTGACACACTGGCTGCAGCAGTGGGTTCAAACACAGCAACAATTGTGAGCGTGACGTAAGACCAGGTAGTGTTTCGTTCAGCAACTGATGGCACCTCAAAACCATCATGTTTAAGGAAGCCAACAGCCACATCTTTCTGCGATGGAATAATCTGTGGGTTTCAACTGCTGACCTTCTGTCTAGCAGCAAAACGCGTCACCAGGGCATCACCAGGAGCTCCTCAGCAAGAAAAAGGGGAATTGAAATAGCAAAGTTGCTCTTCTCTGAGGCCTTCCTCTCCAGGGGAACTCTGGCTCCCGCCTCGTCTGGGGCACCTGAAAGGTTCCGGGGACGGTCAGACTGACTCACTCACCGATCTCAAAGGAGTGCTCCAGCAGCAAACCCACGGTGCCGCAGCCTTCGCCTTCTCGGCCATCGGCCCCGGCCTGCGGCAGAAAGTGGCCCAGGTGAAGGCCCTGAGCCCTTGGCAGGACATTCCCGCCCAGGGCAAACTCGGGCCCAGGAGTCCACCCAAGACTAACTACCATTATGAATATTCGCGAGCCAGATTTACTTAGTCCCTGAAAACTATTACTGCAATTCCAGGGCAACCATCTTTAGGTGGTAACTTATAAATATTTATGAGTTAAAGAGCGCTTCCTTGCTAGTATGGGGGGGAAAGGGAAAGGGGGGCGGGAGGAACGCGGCCTCGTGTTTACTGTAAAGGTTCAACAGCCAGCGTAGTCAAGACCATATTCATACATATTCAACACCAACACCCTCCACCTGCGCAACTTTAGTTTCACTTCAAAGACTCCAGTGAGCTCAAGACCCCGCCCCTTGTTGCATATTCACGAGACGCATAGCTGATCTAGCCTTCATGAATATTCACGAGGCACAACTCCTCTCTAATCCCTGGAATACTTGCTTTCCTCAGCCCCGATGTCTACCTGGCTAAAATTCCATCCGGACCACGCCTTTAATGTATATTTACGAGCTGCGAAATCCCACTTTCTTTTCCCTAGGTCTCCAACCTCTCGCTTCGACGCGTATTCGAACGCGCAGGCGCCAAACCCTTCACGAACACCGCCCCTCATGCATATTAATGACTAGAGCAACGTTCCTCTAGGTCTTTCTCCCCACAGGTGCGGTCTAGTACCCGGCCCTGGCCCTTCCTCGTCTGCAGGGCTGCAGCCTTGCTTTTCATCCTTCTTTCACCCCGTCTTCCCTCTCGCGCCTGCGCAATCTCTTTTCCCCGTAACCGATCTCAAGGCCCAAGATCAGGAGTTCGGTCGGCCCCGCCTCCTCCTGTGCGCAGCCACTAAGTACTCACCCCCCGGGCCGCGGCTCCAGCCCGACAGCCATTGCCTCGGGCCCGGCTAGGCGCTGCCGCCGCTATCAACAAGAGCAGTAGCAGCCGAGTCGCCTCAGCGCCGGCCGCAGCCATCTCAGCGCCCTCCCACCTGTCAAAGGGTGGCTGTGAGCTCAGCGCCGCGGAGCACGCCGGGAGGAGGGCGCCAGCACCGGCTCTTGGCGCCTGCGCACTGACACGGGCATCAGCGGCCCCTCACTCGTTTCTGGGCACCGCCCCTCCGGTGACGCCACCTGCGCGGGGCCTGTTCGCCGTCTTTTGACGTCACAGAGTCTGCGGCTCCGCCCTCGTTTCCTCCTGGGGATCGTCTTTCCGCTCCCTGCCATGGGCGGGAGCGGGAGCGGCGCGATGAGGCGGGGCAAACCCAAGGCCGTCTCAGGTGGAGCAGGTGAGGCGGGACCTGGTGGGATGGCAGGTGAAGAGCAGAAGTTGGCCGAGGGGAGGGAATGGAGCATAGGATGGTCCCCATTTAGGGTGCGACCCGTGAAGGGCGGCAAAGAGCCGGAGGACCACCACGCTTAGCCCTGAGCATCCTGAATATCTCCCTTCTAGAACGCTTCCTGGCTCCAGCTTATCCCTCGGGCCGGCCTGGCCGACTCCAACGCCATCTCCTGAGCGGCGAGTTCGACCAGCTGCGGGACTTCCCCATCTTTGAAAGCAACTTCGTGCAGGTGTGGAGCCCCAGGACCTCCCTCACCTCATGACTTGGGGAACCCCTGTTCTCCCTGCTTCTGACTATTCACCCTTCACGTCCATCCCGTGGGTTCCCCACCTCCAACTCTAATAATATAACACCTCGGATCCTACTTCCAGACTCTTAGCTTCCCTATGGAGCCTGATCCCTGACTCAGAGAGTTCCCTCATCACTCTTGACCTCTGATCCCAGGATATCTGACCCCTGCCCTGATCTTGAACTCTCCTTGTTCATGATCTTTAATTTCTACCAAGATTTCTAGCCTCTCATCCAGGCCCAATTCTACTCTCCTCACTCTCTCTAACCTCTCACCTCTGGCCCCAGGTGACCCGATTAGGAGAAGTAGCCAACAAGATCACCATGGGAGTTGCAGCCTCCAGTCCCGCCCTGGAACTCCCAGACCTGTTGCTGCTAGCTGGCCCCACCAAGGAGAACGGATGTCTACAACTCTTTGGGTGACTGCCCCACTGCCCCAGTCTTCTTCCTCATCTCTGGGCATCCCCTCACCTGCAGCACCTTCCCTCACCCAGACAACTGCCAGGAGAACCAAGACTAAACCATTCCCAGGCGAGGGCAGTGGTGTTTTCCTTTTTATGCCGGAGACCTGGGTTCCAGTCCTAGTCAGTGCCCCTCAGGTGCAGTCGCCACCCCTCTGACATCGGATGCTCATGTGCTGGTGCTATGCTGAACAGGTTTCAGTGGAGATAACAGACTAAGACTAGGAAGAAAGGCCTGGTGATCTACTCTTACAACTCAGCCCATGGAAACCCTATGGGTCACAGCAGTCTGGCTTGAGGAGGTCCAGGTCCAGGTCCAGGCAGTGTGCATGGGGTCACCATGAGTCAGGGACTAACTCTATAGCAGTTAACAACAGACAGACACAGGGGACAGTCCTCAGGTGTACCTGGGAGGGTTTGTAGTGTGAATGTGCCCAGTGCCCCCACAATCTCATCTCCTCCCTAGGAGCCCCATGCTCTAGAAAGAGAAACTAAGGATCAGGGAGGGAGCCACTTATGCAAGCTCCCACAAGGGGTCAGGGTAGGCTGAGAGTCATCAGGTTCCTTGTGGTGGCTGATGAATACCAGCCTCCATGTCTTGAGTTCCCACACCACGCTGGATGCTGCTCTCTCAGACTGTAAACCTCTTCTCTCGGAAAAATTTACACAAATACCTTCAAAAGTATAAAACACACAACATAAAATCATCCTTAGCACCTCCCAACCCCCGCCCCCCCCATGCCCTCTCCAGCTGCAAATGCTGACAAAGATCCAGGTGCCAGTGGCTCGTACCACATTTCACAGTTAATGAGAGAAAAGAAAAGAAAACCAGAAAAGACAGGAAAAAGAGCAGGACAAAGAAACACAGAAAAACAACAAAAATAAATAAGAGAAGTTGGAGAGACACAAAAGAAAAAAGCAAGGAAGAAACTTGCATGGAGACACTTTGTCATAGTCTGAAATCCAAAAGGTTTCTTGACAAGTCAGTGGCAGAATCTGATTCTGAACCAAACTCATTCACTTGAAACTATTTGTAGACTTGATTCATCTGCCCTGTAGAAGGGAAAAGGAATCCCTAGTGATGCCAACGATTTAGCAATCAGCTGTTAATCTAAAGGTTGGAGGTTCAAGTCCATCCAGAGGTACCTCTAAGAAAGGCCTGAATATGTACTTCCAAAAAAATCAGCCATTGAGAGTCACATAGGGTGCACAGTTCTCTGACACACACGGGGTCTCCATGAGTTGGAGTCAACAGAGGACAGCTGGTTTGTAAGTCACAAAGCAGTACTCTATTCTGGATCCTACTTACTGCATAACATTCCTTTTGTTAGATTGTTCTCCACCAATCAACAGCCTCATTCACAAAAGAGTACAGTTACAAAAGTAACTGTACTGAAGGGTGGTGCTGAAGGGTGGGTGGATTCTGACCAGCTCATAATCTCCTTCAGCACCAGACTCCAGTCTGCAAATAAAATCCAAAAAACCAAATCTACTGCTGTCAAATCTACTTCTAATAGCAACTCTACTGGACAGAACTGCCCCGTAGGGTTTCAAAGGTTGTAAATCTACAGAAGACACCTGAGACAGTTCGCTTCCATAGGTTTAGCAAGGCTGGTGGATCAAACTCACCAACCACTCCTTCAGGGAAAAAATGGAATTACCCGTTTGTGTAAAAATTTAGTCTCGGAAAGCCTATGGAGATGTTCTCTGTGCAGTAGTATTTTGAAGAAATTTAAAGTATTCTAGAATGACCACATGTTTTATGCAGAGGTGCCAGAAATTTTCACTTTATATTTAAAAAAAAAACAAAAAAAAAACAATATGCAAGGCTCAATAAAACAAGGCCCAACTAAAGTATCTGCCTTCAAAAGGCCTGTGTTTAAATCCTGACTTCACCTCTTCTTCACAGGCTTGGGACTGCCTGTTTGAGCCTGAAGTTTCCTCATCTACAAGTTGGGGATAAGAGGAGACTTAGTACTAACCTCCTGAGTGAATACTCCTAAGTCACTCACAACAACAGTACCAGGCGCAAAGTAAAACCAAAAAACCACTACTGTTCAGTTGATTCTGACTCATAATGACCCTGTCTAGGGTTTTAGAGGCTGTAAATCTTCACAGGAGCAAAAAGACTTCATTTTTATCCCACGGAGAAATGGCTGGTAGATTCTGAATTTAGCAGTCCAGTGCTTATCCCACAGCACCGCTTCGTGAATGCCAGCTGTTACTATTCTTTTTGGTGGGGAGAGCATACCAGTCAAATAAAGGCGCCCTGGTGGCAGTAGTTAAGCAGTCGGCCGCTAACCGAAAGCTCAGCAGTTTGAACCACACAGCCGTTCTGCAGAAGGAAGATGTAATAGTCTCCTTCCATTAAGATTTACAGTCATGGGAGCGGCACAGGGAGGCTCCACTGTGTTTTACAGGGTTGCTACATTTGGAATCAACTGGACAGCAATAGGTAATAGTCAACTGAGTTGCTGCTTAGTGTCTTTGGGTGACAGCCAACAAACAGAGCCCAACTTCTCTGGGGACATCCTGGAGCAGCTGTGAGGAAATCGTAGGTAGGATCAGTCCCCAGTCCGTGGTAGGATAGGTGCCATGGGATATGAGGAAGCGCATGGATGGCCTGGGTTCTCATCCTAACCAGGTGACCCCCAAGCAAGTCGCCCACCCTCTTCCTGACCAGTTTCCTCTGTCTCATTGGACCTTGAATTAGGCTCACTGTCACACTGGGAGGTTGAACAGTACATCCAAGAACTCAAGTATTTTTTTAAATACAAGCCCTGATGGTGCATTTGGTTAAGCACTTGGCCGCTAACAGAACCTGAAAGTCATCAGTTCAAACCCACCAGCTGCTCTATGGAAGAACGATGTGGCCGTCTGCTTCTACAAAGATTTGCAGTCCTGGAAACTCTATGGGGGTTCCACTCTATCATAAAGTGTAGCTATGAGTTGGAATCGATTGGACGACAGGTTTACCCCTTGTTCCCCGGGTAGGGAACAAACTGGGCCCAAATCCCAGCCCTCAGGGAGTTTGTTGTATACTGGGTGGCATACTCAAGTATTGAACCATTTTTTTTTTAGGTTAAGGTCTGTGGAGACATAAAAGACATGGAGGGGCATGAAGGTGCCCGTAAGGGAGACCTGAGAAAAGAACAGAAGTGCAATTCCGGCAAGATGGAGCTGTTGATGCCAAGGTCTTGAGGCAGGATGAGTCTGGTGTGTTTACCAGTGTTTGGTGTTTTGAGGAACAGTGAATGACACGGGAGAAGTGTGTAACAGGAGATGAGAAGAGGGATCAACCATCCACTCTGCAGGGCCTGGTGGACCAAGCTGAGAACTCCGAGGGAGGCTCTGAACAGAGGCTCTCATAGGCGCCCTCTGGTGGCCTTGTGGGAAACAGGAGAGAGGCCAGCGAGGAGGCAACTGAGCAGCATTCACACTGGGAGTGAGGCGTTGTATTGTGGGTACATCTTGAAGGTGGAGCTACCAGGATTTGCTGAGAGAAGTGGATGAGGGTGTTGTGTGAGATAAAGTCAAGTCAGAGGCAGGGTGGAGCTGGGATGAGAAGAATAGGCATTTGGATTTTGAGTCCTGTTGAACAGGTTAAGCGCTGGGCTACTAACCCCTCCCTTCTCCAGAGAAAGATGAAGCTGTCTGCTGTTATAAAGATTCACAGCCTCAGAACCCCTAAGGAACAACTCCACAATAGGGTTGCTGTGGGTCAGAATCGACGCAACCTCAGTGGGTTATGTATCAGATGCATTTGAATTGTGTTGGAGAATACTGAAACTACCGTGGACCGCCAAAAGAACAAACAAATCAGTGTTGGAAGAAGTACAGCCAGAATGCTGCATAGAAGCCAGGGTGGTGAGGCTTCATCTTGTATTTTGGACGTATCCAGAGGGACCAGTCGTGCTTGGTAAAGTGGAAGATCACTGCGAGAGGAAGACCCCCAATGAGATGGATTGGCACGGTGGCAGACACCGTGGCCTCAGATACAACAACTGTGAAGACGGCACAGAATTGGCAGTGTCTCATTCTATTGTTTATCGGGTAGCTGAGTCAGAATCAACTAGAGGATATCTAACAACATGTGTCCAGTGTCGGTCCAACGCCTACCTGGAGAGGTCCCGTGTACAGCTGTGTAATCTGAGTTCAGAATAGAGGACAAGCAGGAGTCACAAAGATGACAGGAATCTTGGTTGTTACTTGTTGAGGGTTGAACCTTGATTCCGACTCAGCAACCCCACATGTCAAAGTAGAACTCTTCCCCCTTAGAAATTCTTAGGCTGTATTCTTCATGGGAGTAGATCGCCAGCTCTCTCTCACAGAGCTGCTGGAACCACCAGCCTTTCAGTTTCCTGTTGCGCTTAATTGCGCCACTAGGGCTCCTTGGGAGACTCTTAGGTCGTTAAGTGCCTGCCCGACCCACAGCAACCATGTATAAGGTTTCTGAGCAGTGGTTGGTGAGCTTGAACCGCCAACTTTGCGGTTCAAATCCGCTTTGCAGTCCAGCGCATTAACCTACTGCGCCGGTGGATTTAATTCTGTGCGTTTGCAAGAAAGGTGAAAATGGATTGCGCATCAGGGGCCTTCCACATTAGAGGGGCGGGCGGGCAAGATGGGAGGCTATGGCTCTGGGAGGCTGGGACCCTGACACCGCCCCGTCCACCTGTCCATACAGGCTATTCCCCTTGCAGTTTGTCCAGCTTTTCGTCCATGACGAGTGCCGGTGGCAGCTCAAAGTGAAGTTTCGTACAGGCCGAGCTTTCTACCTGCAGCTGCGGGCCCCGCCCGAGACCCGGGACCGCGAGTTCGGCCAGTGGGTGCGGCTGCTCTACCGCCTGCGCTTCCACTCCGCCCAGGGAGCCGTGCCCTTCACACAGGAGGAGGACCCGGCGCTAGAGGAGGACGACGAGGAGGAGGAGGAGGAGGAGGAGGAAGAGGTATCCGTGTTGGAGGAGGAGGAGGACGAGGTGAGGGTGCCTGACCTTGCAAGACTAGGAGCATGGGAGGCGTGGTTCCAGATCTATGAAAGGGAAGGGGCGGGGCCTGGACTCCTGGGTCTGACGGAGATGGGGCTGGAGGCGGGGACTCCCGGATCAGAGGGAGGAGGGGCGGGGCCTGGACTCCTGGGTCTGAGGGAGGAGGAGCTGGTCCCTGTCCCCTCTCCCCAGATACCTGGGTCCTTTAAGGGTGTGAAACCTGAGGGTAGACAGCAGGATCTCAAAGCAGGGTGGGCCTCCAGGGCCTTGGGGCCTCTAGCTCAGGTGACTTTACTCTCCTAGTCAGGGGCCCCCTAGTACCCTCTCTGCCCCTTGACCTAATCAGTGGAATCTGAGACATGATGGTCTGATGCCCCAGGCCAGATGCCCCAGTTGCCCTAAAGCCAGTGGGCAGGGGGAACCTTGGTGGCCTCCTCTTCTTAGTCGGCCCCTCTCCAGTCTTCCCTGTAAATACTCAGCCCCCTACTTGCCCCCAAACTGCAGACATACCCACAGGTCGAGGCCTCTGAGGTGAGCTCTCTCTCTTACCTAGATTCCAGCTGTGGAGGCCAGACTTGACCCACAGACCTCAGAACTCTGGGGACTCTAACTCTCCCAACATCTTTTAAGATCATCAGTGGACCAGATGTTTTTAAATGCCCTCCCTCAGGACCAGACAGCTAAATTATTAAAGTTAATAAAGATCAGCCAATTAAGAAGGTCAGTGAGCCCTTCTGCCAGTCTCATCACCTGTTCAACATGGCTGCCTTGCTGAAACAGCTTCTCCAAGTGTGGCTGCCTCCATCTGGTCTTCAGTTCACCTGTGAGGTAGTGCCCCACTATTCCAATATAGCTCTCACCACAGTCCCTTACCCAAAGATGGCCTTGGGTCTCTCTGACTCCTTGTAGTTGCCAATGCAACATGGTTGCCTCACAAAGTAATGGTCCCAAGATGGCTACATGACATGTGGGGGCCTCATTAAAGTAACTGTCCCAAGATGACTGGTTGAACGTGATTGGTTTAATCATGGCTGCCTTCTTGTGAGCACCATTCCAACCTGGTGGCTCCCATCACCGACCCCAGTGTGACCACTCTGAACAGCAAATTGAAGAACACACGTGAGAGTTCGGGACAAGACTCACTGACTCGCGTTCTTAGTGGTAACTCCACTAAGGGTAGAGGTTTCACTGCGGCACTGTGGAGAAAATGAGAAAGGAGAAGGTCAGAAGACCTGGTGGCACAGGGGTTAAGCGCTCGGCTGTTGACTGACAGGTCAGCAGTTTGAGCCCACACCACAACTCCACAGAAAAAAAGGCTGCTCCCACAAAAATAAGAGCCTAGAAAACCCCGTGGGATTCTGTCAGAGAGAGTTGCTGTGAGTCCAAACACCGTTCCGCAGCACCCAACAAGAAGGCTTCAAGGATGGATCCTGATTTTATGTTCCCCCACCCGATCCCTTTATGCACTGTATTGAACCGACCAACGCGGGGAGCAAGCTTACACTTGCCCACCAACACACTTGACTAGAAATGTTGGTGGTTCAAACCCACCCAGAGGCACCTGGGAGGCCAGTCCTGGCGATCTGCTTCTGAAAGGTCATGATCATTGAGAACCCTACGGAGGAGTTCTACTTTGTACACATGGAGTTGCCATGAGACGGAACCAACTCGTCGGCAACTAACACCAAATTTCTCCTCTTCGTTCACCTCACTCTTATTTGTTCGTCAGCTCCTTTGGAAAATCTCTGACTGCGTGTCTTGCACAGCTTGGGGCAGGCGCTGCCCTACACCAAGTTCCCATAATTCCCTGGGTCACCATTACCACAGGAATAGCCCTGTATTGTTGCCCATTTAACGGGTCCAGAGCTGCCGGTTCCCCTCTGGGTCCTAGCTTCATCACTCAGCATGGGGGTACCAGCTGTGTTTATAAAGTGGGGTTCAGCCAGGCAGCATGTCGGGGGACCTCCATGTGCTCACTTCGGACGTCCAACCGGCACTCAACCAACGCCTCCCCCAGCTCATTGACTGCGTGGCAGGAATAAGTCCCGGCATCAAAGGGGGAGGGGCGGCGAATGTTCAGCGTCAGGACCCCTTGGTAGTTGGTTATCAGGAATTTGGGGTCTTCACGGATCTCCATCTTGTTCTTCATCCAAACCACTTTTGGCTGTTGAGGGGAGAAGAAGAGAAGGCAAATTCGAGAGGTGTCCCCCTAGATGATGGGACAAGGGGGCTCTAGAAACACATTTAGATTCTAGTCTTGACTGTGGTACCTCTTTGCTGTATGATCTAGAACTAGCCACTTCTCTCTGACCCTCAGTCTCCTATAAGTAGGGTGATCCTCTCCTTCCCAGGGTAGTGGTTAAGGCCTCCCTATTGCTCTCAGAATAAGGAGCTCTGGTAGCGTAGTGGTTACGAATCAGGTTGCTAACTTCAAGGTCAGCAGTTCGAAACTACCAGCTGTTCCATGGGAGAAAGAGGAGGCTTTCTGCTCCCGTAAAGATTTACAGCCTCAGAAACCCTGTACAGGGTCACTGTGAGTCGGAATCGACTCCACGGCACATAACAACAACAACATTGCTCTCAGAATGAGGAGCTCTGGTAGCATAACGGTTATGAATCGGGCTGCTAACCTCAAGGTTGGCAGTTCGAAACTACCAGCTGTTCTGTGGGAAAAAGATGAGGCTTTCCGCTCCCATATAGATTTGCAGCCTCAGAAACCCTGTGCAGGGTCTCTATGAGTCGGAACTGACTCCACGGTACTTAACAATAACATTGCTCTCAGAATAGGAGCCGTAGTGATACAACGGCTAAGTATTCAACTGCTAACCAAAAAGCTGGTGGTTTGAAACCACCCAGTGAATCCTCTGGGGAAAGACCGGATGCTCTTGGAAAGCTTTAGTCTCTGAGATCCTGAGGAGCAGTTCTGCTCTGCCTTATATCTGGTCACTGCAAGTCCTCATTAACTCATGGGTAGTGGCTTTAGGTTTGGTGTTGCTGTTCTCCAGGTATCAGCTCCTATGTCACTCTCTGACCCCTAGACTGGGACCCACTGCCACTGAGTCCATTCTGAAGCATGGTGACCTCGTGTGTCAGAGTAGAACTGTGCTCAGTTTTCAATGACTGATTTTTCAGAAGTAGATTGCCAGACCTTTCTTCCAAGTTACCTCTGGGTGGACTTGAATCTCCAGTCTTTTGACGAGCAGCCAAGCACACTAACCATTTGCACCACCCAAGAACTCTGACTAGGATGGGAACATCTACTTTACACTCTTATAATTGCCTGCACTTCTCCACCAAACTTATGATCACTTGTAATCTTTTACTTGTCTGGCTTTTAATTAATGTCAGTCTCCCACAACATACAGGGACTTCTTGCCTAGTTCACCCAGCATGTAGAAAGCCTCTGAAAATATTTGTTGAACGAATAAATGATGAGTAAGACAAAGGACTAAAATGGAGAGAATGAATGAAGTGATTGAATTGATATGTGAACAAATGAATGGAATGAATGAATGAGTGGAGTTATTAAATGATAGGAGTGGATGGAGTAGGTGAACTAATGAATCCATGGTGTTTGCTTCAAGGGGCTGGCCAGATCTGAGGTTGGCAACTTTTTCTATAAAGGGCCAGACAATGAGTAGTTTCAGCTTTGTGAGTCACGTGGTCTCTCTTGCAACTGCTCAGTTCTGCCATTGTAACACAAAAGTAGCTATAGTGAAGATGTAAACTAATGTGCACAGCTGTGTTTCAATAAAACTTTATATATTTAGAAATGCAAATGGCCCACAGTCAGTACTTTACCACCTCCTGATCTATCTGCACCACAAGCTCAAGGCTGCAAGTGTTCACATTGCCAAACATCAGTCTGGAAATGGATGGAGCAGGAAGACCTGGGGAGCCATGGAATCTTAAAGCCGCCAACAATCTCTGTTTCGGAAGGATTGATGATTGTCCTTGGATACCGATAGACAAGAGAGACTGACCATTTCCTCAGGCTCGCAGTCTCGGGACAGAGAAAAGTGCAGACAGCCAGAATGATTTCTGAGACCTGGGATCTGGCCAGGCAAGGAGAGAAACAGGAAGCTAGAAAGTGTAGTTCAAGCCAGAGAAAGAAAGGGAGAGCAGTGTGCTTTTGGTATCAAGTGGGCTTCAAAGGAGCAGATGCGATCAAACAGAACTCAGGAGGAAAAACAGGCATGCAGGGAGTAAAGTCTGATCCTGTTGAAGACGTCCTTCCAATGTTCTGTACACACACCCATAGATCTCAGCGCCCCTGCCCCGGGGCCCCCGCCCTGGCACCTTGGGGTGGCCTCTGACAGCACAGTTGAGAGCTGCGGAATAGCCAGCCACGACCACCCGATCTATAAGAGATGTCAGGAACTTGGGAGCTGTCCGGAAGTCATGCTCTTGGTATTCAGGTGGTTTGTAGACAAGTCCTGAGTGAGAGTGAGAGAAGATATAAGGTGCTAAGCTCCCAGAATGAACAAATCTGACCCCTCTGTCCCCAAGTGTCATCTCCACTGAGTCCAGGGTCAGAGAAGTCAAGGGTGAACCCTTGTGCAGAACAGCCACAATACCTGTCTTGAGGATACGCGCTGTGTTCTTGGAGACACCAGGTGAGTCACTGAGTCCACAGATGTTCTCACTGAAGACTCTAAAATAGTACTCATTGCCCACAATGAGGTCGGACACAGTGCAGGAGGTGGGGCGGCTGTGTTCATAAACGTTGAACCATTCCTAGAACATGGACAGAGAGAGTCAGGCACAAGGAGACACAAGTGGACAGAGACACAAGAAGGGCCGGGGGGCGGGGGGGGGGGGGGTGGGGAGGAAGCACACTGAAGTGTGCCCCACTTTTAAAAACCCATCAATTTTGATCAAAGATTCTATGAAAGGATCCTGATCAAAAGAGGGGAAATGCCAAACAGAATTTCAAATTCTCATAGAATCCAGTCTTTCTGGAGCCATGGAGGCGGAATGAACTCCCAATACAACTGCCCTGACCAAAAATATCCCCTGAAATCTTAAAATCAAGCAATCATGTAGCTTAACTAGTAAGGACTGTGTGCCTTCAGCACGGTGCTCCTTAAAGATCTATCTGTAAGGGAACAAATCGACAAGAGTAGCTTGAAAAAGAAAATAGGAACCTTGGGTGGGGCGGAGGGGAGATAGTGAGTTCATGTTAATGAGGCAGGAACAATTCAGAAAAGGGTGAAAATGATGGTCAAGCTTAAAAAATACAATCAAGGTCCCTGAATTACACATGTAGACATGTGTTCTCCTGTGTGTATGCTCAACAACAAAACTAAAATTTATTTAAAATAATAAAAAGAAAACACCTCATTTGTAGCAACACTATTCCTAATAGCCAAAGATGGAATCAACCCAAGTATCAACTGATGAATGAAGACACGAAATGCACATCTATAGTGGAAAAGCACTTAGCCACAAAGAGAAATGAAGTTTTGACACACGCTATGACGTGGATGAACGTCGAAATACATTATGCTGAGTGGAAGAAGGCAGACACAAAAGGGGAAAAAAACATCGTGATTCCATTTATGTGAAAATCCCAAACAGACAAATCCACAGAGACAGAAAGGAGGCTAAGGGTTGACATGGATTGAGGGAAGGAGATGGGGGCACCTGCTTACTGGGTATGGAGTTTCCGTTTGGAATGAAGAAGAGGTTTTGAAACTAGATCTTGGTGACGGTTGCACAAGTGCTAAATGCCACTCCCTTTAAAGCAGTTCACGGCTAGCTTTGTTATATGAATTTTACCCCAATTAACAAAAAAAAATGAATCCCTCAGACAATCTAAGCCCAAAGCCTTCCCTTCACAGCCTCAACCTGTTCTCTCAATCTCACTGAGCTTCAGTGTCCCCAACTGTGAAATGGGAACAGGAACAGCCTTTCTGAGACTCTCCCCAGCTTGTTCCCCACTGCCCACCCCACCCCTGCCCTCGGGTCTCACCATGGTTTTCTTATCAGCTTTCTGGATGAAATAGCCTGTGACCTCGCTGTTCCCATCGTCTCGGGGGGGCTGCCACTGTACGAGAGCGTTGGTGCCCCACACCTCCTTCACCATCACATTCTCTGGGGGGCCTGCCTTTTCTGTGGGGAGTGGGTACCATGTCACATCCAGTCTTTCACTGACCCCCTCCCTCACCTTCTGTCCCCACACCCACCCACCCTCCTCACCTCTTCTCCCCATGTCCAGCCCTCACCTTCTCATGGTAGTCTTTCCTCACTTCCTCTTCCCCTCTCCATCTCGCCACATTTTCCCCATCCTCACTTCTCATCTCACCTACTCTTTATTCCAGTCACTCTGCCCTCCTCTTCTTGCCTCATGTCTCAGGTTCTTCACCTCACCTGTTGTGTCTCCATCTCTCCCCATCACCACTACCACTTCCTGCCCACAGGCCTCTGCTCCCTGCCCACCAAGCGCCCGGCCCAAGTCGCACCCACGACCCGGATGTGGATGGTGGCTGTGTCCTTCATGTTCTCGATTGCCACGTTCAACTCGTAGTCCCCAGAGTCCGAGCGGGCTGCCTGGCGCACGAACAGCACCGTGTCCCTATCACTGGTCCTCACGTGAACCCGGGACGAGTCCAGTGGGGCCCCGCCCTTTGTCCACACCACCTGGGGCCGAGGCTTCCCCTAGGGGGCCACAGAGGTAGGGAGAGGTCAGCCCAGACTCTGATCACAGATGGGTCTCCTGCAGGTCCCAGCTGACCCCTGGCCCAGCTCCCCATACCTGGAAGGGGATGAGGAGGTTGAGCTGCTCCCCCACCTTACGGATGTAAGTCTGGCGGAGATGGCGGGGAAGACGGATCTTGGGTTGCTCTGAGGACACAAATAGGATTGAAGGGCCATGTCAAGGATGGAGAGAACAACAGTGATTAGGTGGTCCAGAGAGACCCTAATGATGACCACTGACAAGGCACGTTGAATGATAGCATCTTAGTCTTTAGGACATCAGGGCTCACTCACCTACAATTTCCCGAATGGTGACTGGCTGGGCCAAAGTGGCTGGTTCACTGCGTCCAGCTATGTTGACCCCAACCACCCGGAAGATAATTCTTGCTCCTGTCGGGAGATCCTTGACAGTGAAGCCACATCTCTCCACGGGCTCCGTGTTGGCAGGCACCCATTCCTCAGCTATGGAGAGAGGAGCATGGTCCCTGGAGCTCAAGATGAACCTCCCTGCACACCCTCAACTCGCTGACCTGCTTGGGTCACTTGGGCAACTCCCATTTCTGACCATTGACTATGAACGGGTTCTAAGGGTGATACAGGTATTAGCTCATCAGTTCTCACCTCAACCCCACGTCATTCCCATGTTGGTGGTGGTGGTAAGTGCCATCGAGTTGATCCCAACCCATAGCGACCCTGTATAGGGCTTCCAAGGAGCAGCTGGTGAGCTTGAACCACCAACCTTGCAGTTCAAATGGCTTTGCAGTCTGGCACTTTAACCCACAGTGCCACACCAGGGCTCCCATTTTAGAGGTCAGTAAATTGAGTCCCAGAGAGGTGAAGGAACTTGCTAAACACACAGCTAGCAAGTGTTAGACTAGGAAGAAAACCCAGACCTGTCTAGTTCTACAAAGCTCTTAAGCTCTGCTCTTCTGCTGAAGTTGGGATAGAGGAACAGGGAACATGGCTCGGTCTGAAGGCACTAGAGGAGGAGGCTAGGGGAGCAAGCATCCAGCTGTGTCTGGGAATGGTGTTTAGAGACAACTCAATGCATGTCCTGCTTTCTTTTTGTCATGTGCCTCTCTATGGTGACTTGGCTGGTGAACTCATGTGGGTCAGGCCAACAATCAACAACAGACTCACCTCTAATACGCTTGGTTCTGACACCAAGTGGCCCTGACACAAATGGGGAAAGGGGTCAGCATGAGTAGAAATGAGGTTAAAAGTGCTGGGAAGATAAAGCGGGAAGAAAGTGACAAGAGTTCAACCACCCATTTGTGTGTGCACGTTTCCAAACGCAGTCATCACCGTGCCGTGGCAAGATGGGAACTGTCTTTGCCATTTGGAGACGAAGAAATTGAGGCTCAGAGACTTGCCTAAGGTCACACAATTAGAAAGTGCAGGGGCAGGCTTGGAACCCACATCATTTGACTTTGGAACCTGGAATGCAGTATCAAGATGATCTGTGTTCAGGTCTGTCTTTCCAGAGAGATGACTGTGTTGGAGATATCTCCAAAACTGAAGCACTGCCTGGCATAGTGCCCAAAACATGTTTGTTCAGTGGAGAAATGGATGGATGGATGAATGGATGAATGGATGGATGGATGGATGGATGGTTGGGTGGATGGATGGATGGATGGATGGATGGATGGATGGATGGATGGATGGACAAAGAAATTGTTAAGAAATATGGTATGAGTAGATATATGGAAGAAAAGAAATTACTAGATGGATAGATGATTAGATGATCCAACAGATTTTCAGAAGGATGGCTGGATGATTAGGTGGGTGGGCAAATGACTGGGAGGAAAGAAAAGAGTGAGGAGATGTAGATGGATGGATGAATGGATGGAAGAAAGAAAAGGAAAAGATGGATGGATAGATAGATGGGTGGACAAATAGATAAAAGGAAGGAAGAGAGGGATATAGGTCATAGACAGATGGATGGAAGGATACATGGACAGAAGAAAAGGTATTGCTGGTTGGTCAATGGATTTAGGGAAGGAAGAAGGGACAAGTTGGTGGATGGGTGTCTGGCTTCACCCACCCATTGTAGGACTTCATGCAAATACGTACACAGAACAGGGGCAGCGCACACCACCAGTTTTATCTCCCTGCACTTCTCTAGTTCCAGTTCTCTGGACTGGACACTAACAGGACTCTGGGGGAGTCACTGCTCCCCACCAAACCTGACTGGATCACTCACATCCATCCAGACAGTACTCCACCAGGTACCCGTCGATGCCCCCTGCTCCAATCCTGTCTGGGGGCCTCCACTTGAGTGTGGTAGTGGTGTCCGTCACATCCTCCACCGTCAAGTGCTGGGGTTCACTCGTGGGTGCTATAAAGATCCAGAGAAAGGGGATGTGATGGTAAATGAGACGTCAGAGTCCAGAGTTGGAGTCACTGGTCAAGAAAGAGATCAAATGGTGGGACACAGATCAATGAGCAATAATGCATCATCAAGAATCATTAAAACAATGAAATATCAAGGGACCTCTGGTAGGTCCAAAGTCTGGGGTCACAAAAGTGAATATAGGGAATCAGAAAGAGATCAAGAGTATGAGTGGAGTGGGAGTCAATGTGTTAGGTTATTGTATGAGAGGTAACAGAAGTTTGTAGAGACTTGGGTCAAAGATCAATGGCAGGGAAGGATGCAGGTCAAAGGATGATGGGAGGTCAGTGAGGGGCCAGGGAGGACTTACCAATGGGCATAAAAGGCTTGGTGTTGAGGCTAGGCTGGGAGACTCCAATGGCATTGACAGCAAACACTCGCATCTCGTAGAGAACGCCCTCGATCATCTTGGTAGACTCATAGGTAGTCTCCGTAAAGACCTCAAAGTTCACCTTCATCCAGCGTTGAGAACCTTTCTTCTTCCTCTCCAGGAGATACCCTGGAGGCTCCCCAAGCACAGAGGAACAGGTGGTCAAGGGAAGGTCATGAGTATCACAGGTCAGTTGGGACAGTAGAGGTCACCTCAAAGAGGTCACATGACCCAGGGTTGATCTCAAGAGTCATAGAGCAGCTAGAAGCCACCAGTCATGGGGTTAGGAATCAGCAGGATATCATGGGTCACACACAAAAAAGAAAATCCCAGGCCACTGGCCAAAGTGAGAATTCTCAAATCCCTAGGGGGGAAAGACTCATGAGAAAAGACCAAAGGAATTGGGAGGCAACAAAGATGAAAAGCCAGGTCTTCAAGGGAGGTCACTGAGGATCCTAAGGCGTCTGAGAGGCAAAGGAGAAGTTATAGGGTAGGGGACATCAGAGGCTATGGGGACACTGGTATAATTATGTATATGGGCACTCACCAGTGACTGGCTGACCACCGTCATACTTGGGTGGCTCCCAGGCAAGGATGGCCCAATCTTCTCCAACTGAGGTAACCCGTACAGCTTCTGGGGGGTCTGGGACATCTAGGTGGAGGCAAGGGAGTTAGGGACCCCCTCTTAGCTTCTGGGAACTATCCCCCGGCCCCAGTCTTCGAACATTCTCTACTCACCCACAACTCGCAAGAAGATGGAGGCCACATCCTCGCCTACGGGGTTGGTGACCTTGATGGTGTAACGACCCTCATCCGCTCGCTCGGCACTCTCAATCACGAAGCTGCTACAGTCAGCCCGTTGCTCAATGCGGGTCCTGCCTTCGGTGGCTGAGAATACCTAGACCCAGCCAAGATTTGGCCTTGCTCTACATCTTCTTCCCAAACCCAGATCTAACTATACTTCCTCCCCTGCTCAAAATTCTTTAATGGTTTCTTGCCACAAACACCCTGGACTTGGCCTACTAGGCTCTTTTGGATCTAAATCCAGACTCTTCATTCCTCCCAAATGTTCTCCTCACCCAAGCACCATCTTTCATTTATAACACTCGACTGTTTTGTTCCCAACATTTGCAATGCCATGTCCCTACTTAATATTGTAGATAAAACACTCTTACTCTTCCTTTAGGACCCATCTCTTTCAGGAAGCATTCTTGGACACCTCCAGCTGAAAGCGATGGCTCCCCATCTTGGCTTCTCATAGCTTTGGTTGCTGTTATGTGCCGTGGAGTCGGTTCCGACCCATAGCGACCCTGTACAGGGTTTCTGAGGCTGTAAATCTTTACGGGAGCAGAAAGCCTCATCTTTCTCCAGTAGAACAGCTGGTAGTTTTGAACTGCTGACCCTGAGGTTCACAGCCCCATTCGTAACCAGTACGCTACCAGAGCTCCTGGTAGATTTGGTAGCGCCTTTTTTTTTTTACAACCCTGCTCACCCTGAATTGTGATTGTCTCTCCCCAAGACTTTTGGAAAGCAGGGTCTGGTTCAGATTCATGGCTGTCTCCTCAATACCTGACATAGAAGAAACCTTAGGGGGTGTTTTCTGAATGAATGAATGAATGAATGAATGAGGAAAGACTGAGGTTAAGTCTATCCATTTTTTATATAAGAGGAAATTGTTTTTGTTGTTGTTAAGTGCCTTTGAGTCGGTTCCGACCCATAGCAACCCTGTACAGGGTTTCTGAGGCTGTAAATCTTTACGGGAGCAGAATGCCTCATCTTTCTCCCACGGAGCGGCTGGTAGTTTTGAACTGCTGGCCTTAAGGTTCGCAGCCCGATTCGTAACCACTACGCTATGGAATCCCAGAAAATAGAAGAAAAAGTGGAACTGCCTTAGAGTCTGGAAATGTAGGGTTCAAATATTTGTTGGATAAATGGATGGATGGGTAGATGGATGGATGGATAATATTAATGCAATGGATGGGTGGATAGATAGATGAGCAGATGGATAATGCATGGATGAACTAATGAATCAATGGACTGATAAATGAACAGATATATAAACATATAGATAGATGAGTGAATGAATTGATGGATGGATGCATAAGTGGGTGAGTGGGTAGATTGATCATGCATGAATACATAGGTGGGTTGGTCTATAGATGGAAAGATGGATGGATAGATGGAAAGATGGATGGATGGATGGATGGATGGAAAGATGGATGGATGGATGGATGGATGGATGGATGGATGGATGGATGGATGGATGGATGGATGGATGGATGGATGGAAAGATGGATGGATGGGTGGATGGATAGATGGATGAATGGATGGATGGATGGATGGATAAGTGGATGGGTGGATACGTGGGTAAATGGGTGGATTGATCATATGTGAATAGATGGGTGGGTTGGTGTATAGATGGATAGATTTATAGATGGATGGGCAGATGGGTGAGTGAGTGAGTGGATGGATAAATGAATACAATGTCCACTATGTGCTAAGCCCTTTATTAAAAAACAAAACAAGCCTACTGTCAGTTCTGACTCAGAGTGACCCTACATAGGGTTTCCAAGACTAAATCTTTACAGGAGCAGACAGCTTCATCTTTCTCTTGTAGAGCAGCTGTTGGATTTGAACCTCTGATCTTACGGCTAGCCATCCAACACCTAACCAACAGCACCACCAGGGCTTCTAAGTCCTATATTAGGTGGTCATCAGAGCAATCCTCTAATGAAGGATTCATCATCCTCATTTTACAGATTTAAATTGAGGCTCAGAGATGGAAAGCCACTTGTCTAAAGTCACTAGGCAGAACAGAAAGAGAAAAGAGCTCAGGGCCCCACACACCTCATCTCCCCTCAGCCAGGTGGCAACGGGAGGGGGCTCCCCTGTGATGGCCACGTCCAGCCTGAGCTTGTTTCCAGCCACAACCACAATAGAATTCTCTGAGGTCTTGCCTGAGCAATCCAGGTGGATCTTTGGTGGCTCTGGTGGCAAAAAAATGATACTGGGGACTTGGGAGCAGGCATCTTGGGCCCTCCCAATCTCCCACTAGAAGATTCCCCCAGAAGCTCGGTTCCAACAACCATAAAGATCTAGGAGTCGAAATTTCCCAAACCCAGGAATCTGAGACCCCCCCCAACCCCCTCCTCTCTCACACCCAGAATTCCATACTTCCAGCCCCCTCCTTCCTCAGACCTTGGAATCTGGGCTCCAAGCACCCTATTCCCTCAGTTCCAGGAATCTGAACCCCCAGGACCTCCTCCCTCAGATCTCAGATTCTGAGGCCCCAGCACCTTCTCCTTCATAGTCAGGAATCCGGGCCCCTTAGCTGTGGTGTGGCACTACAGGATAATGCGCTGGACCACACAGGTCAGTTTAAGCCACAAGGACAGCAATTCGAACCCAACAACCACTCCTCGCAAACCCTATACAGGGTCTATGAGTTGGAGGCAATTCAACAGCACTTAACAACAACAGCTTACCAGAGAAACTCTTGATCCTTACCTTGTTTGGGTACATACTCCACCTTAATTTCTGGAGGACAAAGAAGATTGGATGGTTAAGTCTAAATCCAGTAAGCCCCTCACCCCACCTTCCCAGAGTTGGAGATCTGACAGTCACCTGGGGAACTGGAGTGTTGGGGTGAGGTCCAGGCCCACAAACTATACCTAGTTTCACCTTCCTCCTGATATGAACCCCTTTTGGTGTATACAATGTTCTTTGCCTCCATTTTTCATAAGTAATTCGTGAAGAGATAAACTGAGACTTTGTCAATAGCCTATTCCCCATCTTGATTTCACTCAAGTTTTCCTTTCATTTATTTTGTTGTTGTTGTTAAGTGCCATTGAGTATGTTAGGACCCATAGCGACCCTGTACAGGGTTTCCAAGGCTGTAAATCTTTAACAGGAGCAGAAAGCCTCATCTTTGTCCTGCAGAGCGGCTGATAGTTTCGAACTGCTGACTTTAAGGTTCGCAGCCCAATTCGTAACCACTACGCTACCAGAGCTCCTTTTCATTCATTTTAGCACTCATTGATTCTTTCCTGAATCCATTTTCACCATGATGACTGAACTATCAGGATTGACTGAGTTTCCTTTCTGTAACATTTGATATTCTACTGTAAGGACTCCTGGTGTGGGGCTGTGGGATAAGCACTGGACTGATAACCATAAGTAGGTGGTTCAAACCCACCAGCTGCTCCTTGGAGACCCTATGCAAAGTCGCTATGAGTTGAACCAAGTCAATGGCACTTAACAACAACAACCAACCCATGAGATGGACATACACTTGCCCTCAACCCCACTGTACAGGTAGGGAGACTTAATCCTGGAAGGAGGGTAGCCAGGGGTCCAGGGCCTGGGATGGTGAGTCCTGAGACCCCCAGGAGAAGAAGGGGTATCCTCACCTAGGAAGTTGAGCTTGGCTGAGAGGGACAAAGCATAGCCATCGGGCACGAATGTGTAGTCTCCTTCATCCTCAGGACGGACGTCATCAATCACCAGCTTGTGGAACCTACAGGGCTCGCGGAGCAGGTTAGTGGTCCGGCCAGGCCACTCTGGGGACCACCATGAGCCAGATGCCCCATCTCTTTCTCTCAGTGCCACCCACCTCAGTCCCTCCCACACACTCCACTTTTCATTCCAGGCTTAGGAATGCCATCACCTGGGTTCAAATCCCACTCTGCCACAGATGAGCTTTGTGACCTTAGGCACATTCCTTAACCTCCTTGTATCTTCAAGTCACCTCATCTGTCAGATGAGGCTGCTAGAAATAGTTTAAGGAATGAGATGTGCAGTGCATTTGAGTCAGTGCCTGGCGTACTGTTGCTGCTGTAGTCCTCAAGTGCTGGTGAGTCGGTTCCAACCCATAAAGACCCTGTATTGTTGTTGTTGTTGTTGTGAAGTGCCGTCGAGTCAGTTCTGACCCACAGCGACCCTGTAGAGGGTTTCCGAGGAGAAGCTGGTGAGCTTGAGCCACCGACCTTGCAGTTCAAACGGCTTTGCAGTCTGGCGCATTAACTCACAGCGCCACACCAAGACTCCAAAGACCCTGTATAGAGTTTCCAAAGAGCAGCTGGTGGACTTGAACTGTCGATCTTGTGGTTCAAAGTGACTTTGCAGTTCAGCACATGAACCCACAGCGTCATATGTTGTTGTTATGTGCCATGGAGTTGGTCCAACTCATAGCGACCCAATACAGGGTTTCTGAGGCTGTAAATCTTTACGGGGGCAGAAAGCCTTATCTTTCTCCTGCGGAACATCTGGTAGTTTCGAACTGCTGACCTTGCGGTTCGCAGCCCAATTTGTAACCACTACGCTACCAGCGCTCCTTATGGTATCAATAAATGTTAATTTCTGTCATTAGTCCTGGTGTGGTACTATGAGTTAATGTGCTGGACTGCAAAGTTGGTTTTAACTGCAAGTTCGGCAGTTCAAGTTCACCAGCTGTTGTTCAGAAACCCTGTACAGGGTTGCTATGGGTCAGAACCAACTCAATGACACTTCACAATAATAACAACAACAATATTATTATTATTATTAGGATTCCTGGCATGGCACTGTGGGAGCAACACTGGAGTGCAAACCACAAGGTCGGCTGTTCAAATCCAAAAGCTGCTCCTCACAAACCCTATACAGGGTTGCTATGAATGGGAACTGACTCAACAGCACTTAACAACAACAACAACAAACAATATCATTATCATTGGAGTCCTGGTGTGGCACTGTGGGATAAAGCACTACACTGCAAGGTCAGTTTGAACATCAAGGTCAGCGGTTCAAGTTCACCAGCTGCTCCTTGGAAACCTTATACAGGGTCACTATGAGTCGGAACTGACTCAACAGCACATAACAATAAAAACAACAATATTAGTGTTATATTATCTTGTGTGTCCCCCTCAAAAAATATGTTGAAGTTCTAACCCCTGCACCCATGATGGTGGCCTTGTTTGGGGGAAATGGGGGTTTGTCTTTGCAGATGTGATCAGTGAAGTTAATCAAGTCGTCCTGGGGAAGGGTATGTGTATGTCTGGAGACAAACAGAGGAGCCCTGGTGGTGCTGTGGTTAAAGCACTATCCTCCTAGTTCTTAGCCTTAATCCCCTCTGAGTGGCATCCTATAGAAAAGAGGGACAGGTATGGAAACAGAGTCCCCCTCTCTCACACACACACAGAGGAAGAAAACAAGAAACTTAACAGGCATATTGGGCCCTAGTAAAGTTTCTGAGAGGAAATGTTCCCTGTTTCTCCTAATGGCGGGTGTCTGACTGCTGGCGACCCTTGGCATTTCTTGGCTGCTTATAGGTGCATCTGCCTCCTGATAAGGAGCTCTGGTAGCGTAGTGGTTACGAATGGGGCTGTGAACCACAAGGTCAGCAGTTTGAAACTACCAGCTGTTGCGTGGGAGAAAGATGAGGCTTTCTGCTCCTGTAAAGATTTACAGCCTCGGAAACCCTGTACAGGGTCGCTATGGGTCGGAACCGACT